AACCTGAAAAGTTACTTCTCGTCGTTTTGTATTAGCTTGATTACGCATCCGATCTTGAGCTTTCGTAAGATTGAGGCGTAGGAGCTTTAACATGTCATCACGATCGATTAATTGTTGTTCCAATTCTGCGTTTTTGGTTTCTCCCTTTACATAAGGCAGAAGGGAGGGAGGATCCCGGCCATAAACGATGGAAAAAGGAGTAGCGCCCGTAGAAGTATGATGCCCGGTGTTGTAAGAATATTCAGCCCACGCTAAATAGGAACTCCATTTGGTCGGTTGTTCATGAGCGAAGCAACGTAAATAGGCCTCTAAACAGCGATTGAGAACTTCTGTCTGACCATCCGTCTGTGGATGGTAACTGGTGCTCAATTGCAGTTTGGTTTGGCTCAAACAAAATAGTTCCTGCCAAAAAGTGCTCAAAAAGATGACGTCACGATCCGATACAATGGAGCGAGGGAAGCCGTCTAGACGAACAACTTCTTTACAAAAAATGGCAGCCACACTCTTAGCTGTAAAAGGGTGAGATAAACACAGAAAATGGGCATATTTGCTCAAACGATCCACGACGACCAAGATAGTGTCAAACCTGTTAGATGGCGGTAATCCCACGATAAAATCCATGGAAATGTCCTCCCATATTTGAACCGGAATTGGCAACGGTTGGAGGAGACCAGCCGGAGATAATGTTTAGTACTTTTGCTGTTGGCAAACTAAACAGTTCTGCACAAACACCCTGATTTCTTGTTTCATTTTTGGCCAAAAAAATTGGAGAGACATGCGTTTAAGGGTTTTTAAAAAACCACCATGTCCACCAACTGGTGAGTCGTGACACTCTTGAAGTAATCTAAGTTTAAGATCGGGTATATCAGGGATGACCATCCTACCTTTGAAAAACAAAAGCTGGTCATGCGAAGAAAAATCAGGAACCGATGAAGGATTTGTGTGGAGCTGTTGGAGAATATCCACTGTATAAGAATCTTGTTGAAGGCCCCTTTGTATGTCAGTGATTTCGACGCAATATGGTACGGACAAAGTCAATAATTCGCCTGAATGGGGACGCCGAGAGAGTGCGTCCGCTCCCTTATTCTCTTTTCCAGCCCTGTGAGTTATCGAAAAATCATAAGGCATCAATTTAAGTAAAAGCCGCTGCTGTTCAGTTGTGGTGATGCGTTGCTCCAACAAGAATTTTAAAGTATAGTGGTCGGTGCGGATAAGAAAGTGGCGTCCCAATAAATAGTGGTTCCATTTCTGAACAGCAAGGACTAGAGCTAATAATTCTCGATCATAGGCTGACTTAAATCGATTAGATAGGGAGAAGCCTTTACTAAAGTATGCGATGGGATGCTCCTCTTGAGATAAGATAGCACCAACTCCTGCTGAAGATGCATCACATTCAACCACAAATGCCTTTGAAAAATCCGGTAACCGGAGAACAGGGGCTGAAAGTAAGGCCTGTTTCAATGTGATGAACGCATCTAATGCCTCGTTAGACCAAAGGAATCCGTCCTTCTTTGTAAGAGCAGTCAAAGGGCGTGCAATCAGCCCATAGTTTCGTACAAAACGTCGATAATAACCTGTGAGACCGAGAAAACCTCGAACTTCTTTAAGATTAGAAGGAATAGGCCACGATTGTACAGCCGTAATTTTCTCTTGTTCCACCTGTACACCGTCCCCAGTTATGATATGCCCCAAAAAGGATACTTTAGATTGTCCAAAACAGCACTTTGAAAGCTTRACATAGAACTGGTGGTCGTGTAGTAATTGCAGGGTTTTTTTCAAGATGAGAAAGATGTTGCTCCATGTTGGGGCTGTATACTAGTATGTCATCAAAGAAAACTAGTATATATCGGCGTAAGTAAGGACGGAATAAGTCATTCATGACAGCCTGAAATGTGGAGGGTGCGTTGGTTAGGCCGAAGGGCATTACCTTAAACTCATAATGCCCTGAATGAGTACGAAAAGCTGTCTTCGGAATGTCCGGTTCGTGAACTCTGATCTGATGGTAACCGGAGCGTAGATCCAGCTTGGAAAATACCGTGGCTCCATATAACTCATCCAATAATTCATCGATATTTGGGATTGGGTATTTGTCGGCTATCGTTATTTTGTTGAGAGCTCGATAATCCACACACATCCACCAAGTATTATCTTTTTTCTTGACGAGTAGAATCGGGCTTGAAAAGGGACTATTRCTAGGCTGAATAAATCCCGCCGCCAACAATGTTTCCACTTGCTTCTCGATTTCAGCCTTTTGGGAATGGGGGTATCGGTACGGCCRGATATTGGGTGGTGTAGAGTTTGGAATTAGGGGAATATAATGGTTCTGTGAGCGGTTGGGAGGTAGATTCTTGGGTTCTTCGAAAAYCGGGCTGTATTGATGTATCACCGGCTGGAGAACATCGGGAATTTCTGGTTGAGTACCCGGTTCAACAGCCAAGTATTGAAAACTGGAGGACCTTTGCGAACCAGTAGTAATACCCTGCCATTTATAACGTTTGCCATCTACATTAAAAATCAAAAACATTTCTTTCCAATTCGCCTGGACCGTATTTAGTGTTTCCAACCATTGAATACCCAAAACCAAATCTGCTCCACCAATCGAGAAGGGATAAAAATCCTGGACAACTTTAAGTTCATTGATTTGTATTGGAAGGTTTTTGCATATGTGGCCACACCTAATAAAATCTCCATTCCCAATCTGAACACCAAAAGGTGCCACTGTTTGAGTATTAAGTTGCAAATCCTTAACCAATACATCTGAGATAAAATTATGTGTAGATCCCCCATCAATCAAAATAATTACTTCCGTAGATTGAAGCATACCTTGAACCTTCATGGTTCTGGGGTGGGGTTTTCCAAGGATGACATGTAAACTGATCTCCGCAACGTCGTTAGTATCTCCTGCCATATATTCGACTTCATTAGGGGACTGTTCTTCAGGCTCTTCTTCCACTTCCAACACCTTGAGAGTTCCTGTTTTACACCGATGGCCAGGCCCATACTTTTCCCCGCACCGGTAACATTCACCCTTAAGGTAACGAGACTGTCTGTCCGCATCAGAAATTCGTAAGGGCGGTTTGGAATTACTGTTGGTAGAATTCGATGTAGGAGTCGTAGCCTTGGACTCGGGTTGGGATGACTTCGATGATGCTGTCCAAGTTGATCCTCTCCCATAATGGGTGTGGTTGATTTTTAGACTCGAATTCCAAAGCGATGCTTACCGCTTTATACACTGTTCGTGGTTTCTGTATTCATACATCCGCCTTCAATTCTTCTTTGAGGCCATTAAGGAACACTCCCAGGAGACAATGTTCCGGCCAATTGGACACTCGTGAGGAACGTTTGGAAAATTCTTGTCGATACTCTTGCACAGTTCCTGTTTGTTTAACACTACACAAGTATTCGTCCGGATTCTGGAATTCAGTAGGTCCAAAATTTCTCTGCAAGGCTTGAACAAAATCCTCCCAATATTCTATCGTCTGATCGGTCGATATCCATGAATAGAAGTCTAGTGCATCTCCCTCCAAGTGCATCGATGCAACATCTACCTTTTCCTCATCTGGAATGTCATAGTAGCGGAAATATTTCTCTGCCTTAAGAATCCAACCCCGTGGGTCTCCATCGCTAAAGGTAGGAAAAGCAATTTTGTTGTATGGTCGGTACCTTTGATTATGCCAGGACGATTCCCTTCATCCTGCTTTCCATTACCCCAACTGTCCTTATGATGCGATTGGGATTTGAGGGCTGCTACCTCCTTCTGCAACGCGTCTATGGACTCCAATTTCTTGGCGATTGCGGCTAACTGTATCGCCACCGGATCAGGCGGGTGATTTCCCTCCTCTGAATTGCTCCGGGTCTGCACCATGTCTTCGATTTCCCGGCAATGGAACCAATGATAGTAACCGGAAAAATTAAGCAGTCAAACGATTACAATTTAAACTGATAAAGCCAAATTCGAGATGGCCGGTCTCCTTTGCTAACATGAACACAACAAGTTTATTCCTAACTGCCTCCTAAAAACAAAGACTGCAGATTTATTACAGACTAACGATAACTGCTCCTAGAATATAGGTTCAGAACTGTTCCCTCCCTTTCAATTTTAAACATTGCATGRTTGACCCAGTGGGTCCATCCAAATTCCAAAAAGGGCATTAAATTGCTCCTGCTCATGTCCCTTGCCACGTGTTTTCTTTCTTGTATACACCTGTAAGTTCTTATCAGAATGTGTCTCCCATGATGAGTTTATACTGAAATTTGGAACAAGATGAGAACTGGTAGCAACTTAGGGCTTTGTCACTTGATGACTTTGCTAACTCAAAAAGAGTCACAAAACCAGGACGAATCAAGAACAGAAACGGTAAACAAATGGATCGCAGTAGTGGCATTCTGAATCAGAAACAGACAGAGGTGGCAGGTGGTGACAGCAGCAGGAGGATGGTACTCAGGGGGTGGGTTTCTGTCAGGCAATGCCGGAAGAGGCTGGATTGGGCAAGCAGCGGAAGTGCTTGTACTGGCGACGACAGCAGCAGCTGATAGGGTTGTCACAGTGAAAAGAAAGGGCTCTGATACCATGTAATCAGATTTAGGGAATTATATCTTACATTTCATGAGAAAGGATGACAATACATTATATACAAAATGATAACCTGTAATAGGATATCCTACTTTGGATAGAAGGCAAAAACCTTAAAATGTGACGATGTACGATATACAACAATTACCATTGGCCCTTTATCTCCATTGTCTGATTTGACTTCAAACACTATACATGTTATCATTATTTTGAATGTGTGATTTTAGCATTGGTTATAACAACAAGACAAACTTTTCACCCAAGGATTGGTAACTACAATGTTTGTTTCATGGGTAAATCATGGTGCTTCCTAGGTCTTAATGTTTTATGAATGATTCAGTTTACATTCTTGTTTATTATCATTATGAGGCTTGTTGTTTGGATAATACAACCAGCAGAGCATTATGTTTGTTTATTATTTCTGTAGGGAAATGAAGATCTAATCCTTGTTCATGATGCACTTGCATATGGAGATTGTCGCTTATCTCTTGCAGTAAGTCAACCTTCCATTTAATGAATTGACTTAAGATTTAAGAACATGAACTTATATTTTAAGAGTTTGAAACTATATGTGTAACATTATTTCCCCACTCTTTCAGATTCCAAAATATGGGATTTTCGAGAACATCAATTCAGTTAAGGAGCTAGCACAAATGTCTGAGTGGACTGCTGAGAAGCCTCTAAGAGTTGCCACTGGTTTCACTTATGTAATCAGTTAATTTCTTACGTAATTCTGTTATAAATTTTTCCAGTATCTTTATCAAGCCGGAAGTTCTAAAATTGGTGTTTGTATTATTTCTCTCTCCTCTCTCTCTTGCAGCTGGGTCCTAAATTTCTGAAAGAAAATGGTCTTCAGCATGTCGCTTTTTCAACTGCTGATGGGGCACTGGAGGCAGCTCCTGCAGTGAGTCTTCCTTTGCTCAAATCTGAGTTCTGTCAGGAACTACTTCTGTTGTTACTACTTTAGATGCATCGATTTTTATGAGAAGTAAAATGTCCCATGTCTCATCTTCATACTCTATGATGATTCTGTCTGGCAACTGAATCTGCTTTCTGCTTTTGAACTGGTTCCTTGAGATATCTTCACCAATGATATTTTTGAATGTGTAGGTCCATGTGATAATCATGTTTTCATCTAATTACCTGCAAGTGCTTGTCTCAGTATGTGATTATGCAAGCTGATGAGACCTTCCGCACAAAGGTTTCATCTGCTCAAGGCAGACAGCTGCATGGTATGAGTGTATGACCTTAATTTGGTTGTATGGATGCCAGTTCAAATGCTCTCAAAGCTTGTCAGAGGCCCATCCAAGCTTAAAAAAGTATAATTCTTGCAGCATGAGCCAACATTATGTTCTTTTAGGTTCCATAATCTAGTCTCAGAGTGTTTAACATCGCTGCTCCACCTAACTCTCTTCCTGATGCAGATGTCTTAAGGACATCAACCAGCTCTGGTTTCTTTGTTAATGATCTGACATTCCAACTCCCAGCCGCATCCTACTTTTTTACACTAGCTTCCCCTCTCCCCAGGAGCATATCCATAGTGTGGAGTCCCTTGCTAGCTTTTCACCACAAGCAGATGTCAAAAATGGCACGCCACTAAGGGAACGATGATTGTTCTTGCTCATTTCGAATATACACCCAGGTTCTGATGCAACTTGCTGATGAGATGGTTATGCAACAACAAAGTTCCATTTGATTTCATTTTCGTGAGAATAGATAGACACAAAGTCCCATCTCACAAGGCCTGAAGCATACCTTTTTATACCCTAGGTTGGGGAAAACTATATCATAATATGTATGTGGCATTTTAATTATAAAACAACTAGAGCAGACAGATACTAAAAATGCTACCGTAATAGTTGTATCCTCTCAATATAATTTGATTACAATGGGAGTGGATAAATTGCATATTTGCATTAGCAGCTTTGCTGATAGGGACAACACAGTCACTAGGTTTAAATCAATGCAGAAATGATGAAGGCAACAGAACAAATTACAACAATCAAGCTTTAACCATGAGGGAGTAAACTCCTACTACCAATCTTGAACAAGGACCCTGCTTTGGTTGGCTATTAGAACTCATAAAAGCTTCCTTATTGTTCTTCCGCCGCATATTGTGATGAATAAGCTATGAACAAGCAAATATAAGATTGGCTAGGTAATCTTCACAGCTTTTAGCTGAGATGTGGATTATTATGGTTATTGTGGCCAATTACTTTTATTGTGAGCCTCATCAAAATGAGAATCAAATATATCTCTAGCCATTCAGTTCATTGAAATTGTTACAATCAATGCTTACTCTGTTTGTGCTTGTGATTTGAAATAGCGTAGAACACCGATTCTGCGAAGCAAACAGAAATTTAAGAATTATACCCAGAAAGCATCCCTACATAAATTTTTGGAAGATGCTGTCATTTTGTTTGGGTACCAATCACCAACCTTTATACCATTGTTAAGATACTCAATATCCTTGAAGATACTCGATATCATTGTAAAATAGGAAATTATGGGACAAGTCAATATCTTAGGAATCCTTTCCTTTTCTTGTAATTTGCTTTGTGTATATATAACCTTTGTACCTCCCTCTTTTGAGACAAGTGAAATAAACAAAGAATTCTACATGGTATCAGAGCTCGGTTTCGTAATAATCACTAGTTTCATGAATCAAAACTTTTTGGTACATTTTTTTCTTAGATTGAAATTTTTGTTCATTGTTTTTTTTCTTGATCAACAAGTTCCCTTGGGTCGGAAGTTTTCTGCTCGTCGGTTTCTTTGGCACCTGTGAGTGCGATTATCCTCGTCTCTGTTCGTAGGCTATTTGGCACCCTGTGAGTGCGTCATTCACTTTCTGGTTTGCTATCCTTCGTCCTAAGTTCTACGTTCTCTCTTCTGGTTCCTGATTTATTGGAAGATGACTGAAGAAGACAAAACACCTGACAGTAACAACAGTAGTTTACGTGTACCCGAGATGCTAGTGAATGTTAAGCTCACCGACAACAAGCTTAATGGCTTCAACTACTTTGAGTGGAGCAAAACTATTCGTATCTGTCTATGGAGCATGGGAATGCCTTCTCATCTCACATCGGATCCTCCTGGTTCTGATTTATGGTTCCAAAGTGATGCTCATTTGTACTTGCAAATTATCAATGCTATTGAGCCTTCTGTTTCGTCTCTGGTTAGTCACTGTGAATATGTGAAGGAACTTATGGATTATCTTGATTTTTTGTATAATAGGACAAAGTAACATCTCTTAAATCTATAGTGTTTGTAAGTCCTTTCATCGTGGAGAACAATAAGACCGATCACTCACTACGTATGTGATGGAGTTCAAGAAAGTGTATGAGGAGCTTAACTCTCTTCTTCCATTAAGTGCTGATGTCAAAGCCATGCAGACTCAGAGGGAACAAGTGGCTGTTATCAGTTTCTTGACTGGTTTGCAACCAAAATTGGACTCTATCAGATCTTAGTTCTTGAATGAATCTGTTGTTCCTTCTCTTCAAGAAACATTTGCCCGTGTTCTTAGGAATGAGAATCTTCAATCTTCTCAAACTTTTGATCACAACAGTGCTCTGGTTGGTCGAGGAGGATTTCGTGATGGCTATCGAGGAGGATTCCATGGCCACAGTGACTGAGCAACTGACTCACAGGTTACTATTCCAGATTCTGATGATGTTGAGTGTTACTACTGCCATGAGTTAGGTCACACCAAACGCACATGTTAGAAGCTTTTGGCCAGACATCCGAGGAGTTCATCAGGGCATGTTGTCTCTGCTTCAGATAGTACTGTTACTATACCCGTAGAAGAATATGCTCGACTTTTAGGGACTGAGAATTCCACTGCTCTGACTTCTGCATTTACTAAGACAAGTAACTCTAGTACATGCCTATTATCTTTTGCCTCCAAATGGGTCATTATTCAGGTGCTTCAGATCATATGACAGGTAATCCCACCATCTTCTCGAATTTCAATAAACACAAATCATCATTACATGTCACAATTGCTCATGGGTCTACGACACCTGTTCTTGGTTCTGGCACCATCGATCTTACCCTGTCTACCTTCTCTACAGTGTGAGTCTTGTCAGTTTGCCAAACATCATCGTATTCATTTAAGTATTAGAGTCTGCAATAAGCGGGCCTCATCCCCATTTGAGTTGGTCCATTCTGATGTGTGGGGACCATGCCCTGTTACTTCAAAACTTGAGTTTAAGTATTTTGTTACGTTTGATGATGATTACTCTCGTACTAGTCGGCTTTACTTTATGAAAAATCGATCTGAGGTATACACACATTTTTGTTCACTATTTGCTGAGATTAAAACTCAGTTTAAAGTCTCCATTCAAACTCTTCGTAGTGATAATGCAAATGAATATTTGTCCCAAACATTTCAATCATACATATGATTCAAAATGGCATTCTTCATGAGTCTTCCGGTGTTGACACACCAGCCCAAAATGGGGTTGCGGAACGAAAGAATCGTCATCTCCTAGAGGTGACTCGGGCTTTATTATTTCACATGATTGTTCCTAAAGTCTTGTGGGCTGATGCGGTTGCTACCGCTCGTTTTCTTGTCAACCGAATGCCTTCCGCTATCTTGGATGGTAAAAGTCCTTTCTCAGTTTTGTTTCCTACAAAATCATTGTTACTTGTCGACCCAAAGATCTTTGGTAGTTCCTGTTTTGTCCGTGATATCCGACCTCACATAACTAAGTTGGATCCAAAGTCTCTGAAACATGTTTTTCTTGGTTACTCTCGACTTCAAAAAGGGTATAAATGTTTTCCCCCATGCTTAATCGATACACTGTATCACGAGACATTACATTCCATGAGAATATACCCTTCTTTCCTATGTCCACTCCTTGTAACCCAAGAGATAGTGGTGATTTGTTGGTGTATACGATACTTGTTCCTGAGTCTACTACCCCATCCGACTAGACACAGACCCAAGAGCCTACTAAACCACAGTTCATGTATATAATAGGCGGCAACGACCTACATCAGATCCCGACCTAACACCATTTTCATCATCGTCTGCAAATCCGTCTAATGATGACTCTCTTGCTGCGAGTGATCCACCACCTTCTGATACACAGGTTCTATCTTGATGTCCCCATTGCTCTTCGGAAAGGTAAGTGCTCATGTGTTTACCCTAGTTCTTCTGTTGTTTCCTATGATAAACTTTCTTCACGTTCTTGTTCTTTGATCTCTACACTTGATTCTTTATTTGTTCCTAAAACAGTTGGTGAAGCTTTGGCTCATCCTGGATGGCGGGATGCTATGATTGATGAGATGGATGCTCTCGATCATAATTATACATGGGATTTGGTAGAGTTACCTGCAGACAAAAAGGCAATTGGTTGTAAATGGGTATTCACTGTGAAAGTTAATCCAGATGGATCTGTGGCTCGTTTGAAACCGATTGGTAGCCAAAGGATATGCTCAGACTTATGGGGTCGACTACCACGAGACATTTTCTTCTGTGGCTACAGTACTCTCCATCCGCCTGTTTGTTTCATTAGCCGCTACTTACGACTGGGTACTACACCAACCGAAGGTGAAAAATACCTTCTTGTATGGTGATTTACATGAGGAAGTCTATATGGAGCAACCACCTGGGTTTGTTGCTCAGGGGAGTCAGGTAGAGTCTGTAAACTGCGTAAATCATTGTATGGCTTAAAGCAATCCCCTTGTGCTTGGTTTGGACGGTTTAATGCTGTAGTGACTGAGTTTGGCTTACGGAGGAGTTCTTATGATCATTTTGTGTTCTTTACTTCGTCATCTTCCACATGTGTTCTACTAGTGGTATACGTTGATGACATTGTGATTACTGGGAGTGATGAGACTGGGATCAAGAAGCTAAAAGATTTCCTTGCATCTCAGTTTCAAACAAAGGACCTAGGTCCTTAAAAATACTTCTTGGGAATTGAAGTATCTTGTACTCGGAAAGGGATATGTTTGTCTCAACGGAAATACTGTTTGGATATATTGAATGACTTTGGTATGATTGAAACAAAACCTTGTGAGGCCCCAATGATTCCAAATATGAAATTGAAAAGTGGACGATGGAGATCTACTTGAGGATCCAGAAAAGTACAGAAGAATTGTGGGAAAGCTAAACTACCTGACGATTACACGTCATGACATCGCTTTTCCAGTGAGTGTAGTAAGTCAGTTTATGTCATCTCCCAGAACTCCACATTGGGATGCTGTTAGGCATATATTGAAGTACCTAAAGGGTGCTCCTGGTTTTGGTATTCTTTATCAAAATCACGGTCATCATGTCATAGAAGGGTTCATAGATGTCGATTATAATGGGGATCCTACTACTAGGCGGTCTACAACAGGCTATTCTGTGTTGGTTGGAGGGAATCTAGTTTCGTGGAAAAGCAAGAAACAAAATGTCGTTTCCCAGTTAAGTGTTGAATCTGAATACAGGGCTATGGCCCAAACCACTTGCGAGCTAATATGGTTGTGTAATTTGCTAGGTGAAATTAGGTTTGCTCAATTTTAGCCAATGAACCTATATTGTGATAATGAGGCGGCTATCCACATTGCAAACAATCCCTGTTTCATGAAAGAACAAAACACATCGAGGTTGACTGCCATTTCACTCATGAAAAGCTAGAAGATGAAATCATCTCAACTCCCTTTGTTCAAACAGGAAGACAACTTGCTGATGTCTTTACCAAAGCATTACGTGGTTCACGAATCTCTTTTATTTGTAACAAGCTGGGCATGATTAACATTTATGCTCCAACTTGAGGGGGAGTGTTAAGATACTCAATTTCCTTGAAGATACTCAATATCATTGTAAAATAGGAATTGGAGATTATGGGTAATATCTCCTTGTAATTTGTTGTTGTGAATATCTTAGGAGTCCTTTTCTTTTCTTCTCATATTCTTTATGTATATATAGCCTTTGTGCCTCCCTTTTTTGAGACAAGTGAAATAAACAAAAAATTCTACACCTTTTTTGGAGCATGTAGTATGAAAATGTCATTACAAGCTTAAAGGAACGGTTGGGTTCCGGTAAGAAGGGAAGTTATGGTGAGAAGCATAAGAAGAGATCTCCACCCTTGAATCAATCCTAATTGAATGTCAACGCTAATGAGGTGCACCAAGATACACCGGATCAACCCTTCTAAAGCGCAATTCATGGGTGGCCATGAAATTAAAAGTGATCAAGGGTTCAAATCTCTTCTTATGTTTCTCACCATAACTAAACTTCTCACACGATTCTTCACCTAGAAAGGAAACGTTTCAAAAGATAATTGGGAGTTATTTTTCATGCATTTGCTTAATATATCACTGGGTATTCTACAACTTGTGTGGTCAATGTGGTATTCTGATCTATACGTCACCTATTGAGAATGATATACATCAACTGTTAATCTACTTGTCTGTTGGGGAGTGGATTGTATCTATTGGTATATTGTCGTATCGTTGGAGAAACATTCATAACCCGCGTAACACAATCCCCCTGTTAATCTCTATCGAGATTGTCGATTGTGGCCACCCGGCCGAAGAGTTGGCTAGGCCCCCTGTCTTGCATGCAACATTCACAAAATGTTCCAAGTCTTATAGATGGCGGCCCCGTTACTTCCCCCGGGGTCTCGCATTAGCGGAGCAGCCCCTAACAAATCGATCTGAACAGGATTGACGCTAACGGACGATTAACCCCGTTAGAATCCCATAACGAATAGGCTAGCTCTATCTCTCAATTACCTATCCTGTGCTCGAGAAGGTCCCTCAGTTCCTCGGCAGCACCTCGAGGGCACAGAAGAAGTTACTGTTCACATTGTATTGCACTATCTACCTACTTCACATGTATTATCCATAGTGTCAGATCCCTATTCCTTACATTACTATCATGGAAGCCCTTAGAAAAGTGGGGAAATCTCACAAGTTGTTTTTGGTAGTGACTGCGAGTAAAACTTTGTTAAAACCATATGAATCAAAATAGTTGAGAGTTAAAGACTGGTATGCGTACACAGGAATCTTGATCACATAAGTTTCATGGATTATACAACGATTTTGCTCTTGTTGTTAAGCTTATTGATTGATTATTAAAGGCAATCTATTACTTACCGCTATTAGTTGTATGCTAACAGCAGGTAATTGAATTCAAGTAAAAAGGTACATTGTTTTAGTCTTACCCTTAAGAGAGTAAAAGGGCCACTGGTCTAGGCTTTACACATTAAGAACCACTTTTCTTCAATTTTCATCCCCATTGAACACTTTTGAGGATCAATTTTTTTCAATGTACTATCTCTATCCCCTGTAGATTTACTTCTGCTCCCTTTATTTACCATCATGCACCTGTCATAGGAACATTCACCGTCATCATCATTATCCTTGATCATCCAAACTTTGCCTTTGAGAATGGTGAAATTATCCCTACCACAATGATGATGACTCCACTTGGGTTGCAAATGGCACCCCTTTAGTGAACTGTAGCCAAGTTGTTATCATAGAACAAAAATGATCTGATACTCGGAATCCTTATTGCTGCATATTAATGGTTCACCCCTGCTAGTGTGCACAAGCACACGTGGGGGGTTGGGTTGTCACTAGATGCCACCAGGTCCCAATCACATCGGAATGAAATATTCTTTCTGCATAGATATTGATTGTTGGATGATTGGTGTATGAACGTCAACTTGTAAGGATATCAAGTCTCTCGCCATTACTATAATAATCGAACAGGGTGCACCATGACATGTTTAATAGATGACAAGATTATATAAAACTAAGATTGGAATATGGATGACTTAGCGTGATGCTGTACAAGTACTTCACTAAACCAGGACAATTCAGGCTTTGCATTTTGGGATTCTTGAAAACAATATTGTTTGTAAGCTACATTTAATTATGCCAAGAGCTTCTCCTAATATAATTTAATCACTCCATTCCAGATGTGATTTTGTATATAGTTCTGCCTTTTTGTTCTTGCCCTGGAGGCTTTCTAGTTCTCAGTTTGGGAAAGTAGAAGTGATGATGACATTAGTGTCCCTTGATGCATGCACAATGCTATATGTTCTTTTTGTTCTAACGTTTACATCTTTTCACTTGCTTATTTAGATGGGTATTGCTGATGCTATTGTGGATCTTGTTAGTAGTGGAACCACATTGAAAGAAAACAATCTCAAAGAAATTGAAGGCGGTGTCCTCTTAGAAAGCCAGGTGAAGTTTGAAGCCCAACCTTGCAAGATTCTTTTAGCTATTGGATTTGCTGGTTTTCCTGAGTAGGATATTTTTCAGGCTGTCATGATTGCTAGCAAGAAGTCCTTAATCCAGCGCAAAGGTTTATTGGACATCACACACGAAATTCTTGAAAGATTCGAGGCACATTTGAGGGCGCTTGATCAATTTACTGTAAGTTGACATGTGTTTGTTTATTGTCTCTCATTCCCAAGAAAAAAGTACAGTTTGAGTTCAGATCAAATGTGGTAAACCAAACTAAACATACCGGTTACCGAGTATATCCCACTCTGAAGTGGGGGAGGGGGAGGTAGGATGTGCGCGGACTTTACCTCTATCCTAAGGAGTAGGAGATGTTTACCTGAAGACCCCCGGCTTGTGAAAAACTTCTGCGAAAAAGTTATTGGGGAAGTCTTGAGCGACTCAGAAAGCTTATAAAAAAATTTGGAAGATGTGAAATTTTTTGAATGTGAAATTAACAAGTATTCTTTAATTAGTTCAAAAAAGTTCCAAAATTATAGCAAATACTACGGTTAGAAAAAAAAATTGGTGCCTTGGATGTAAAATGTCTGTAAGAGTACCAACTCCGATGCCTAATGATGTACTCCCTCTGCCTCAAAAAAAGATGCTACACTTCCCAGTTAGGGCTGTCCCAGAAAATGAAGCATTTGCATTTAGAATGAAATTTTAAACTCCCACTTTACTTTTTGATTGTGGTCTACAAGCTCTTCTATTTTTTATTTTGTCCTTACTAAGGGACTTTTTTGGACCTTTAATTGATAGTTAAAACATTTCATTAGGCTATGTGCCAATACAAACGTTGCATTTTTTTGGGGCCTAGAATAGTACATTGAAACTTTATTTTCCTCACGTCTATTACATATAATGCATCTCAGGTAGTCGCCAACATGAGGGGAAACAGTGCCGAGGAAGTAGCTGAGAGAATTCTTAGTCAACCATCATTATCCGGGCTTCAGGTGAAATTTTCTCTGCATATGTTTTAGCTAGCTACTAAACCTACAAACCAATGTTTTTCCCTATATGTTCAGGGTCCAACTATAAGTCCAGTTTTCCGCAAAGGTGATGGTGGGGTAACACCTGATTATTATGCTATAGTCATTTGTGTACCCAAAAAGATGCTGTACAAATCAGTTCAGCAGCTGAGAGCGGTAAGAAATCTTTAATCTTGAACTTGTGTAATATGGTTGACCGCAATTATTTATATACTAGTCTTTTCTTGTATTACGAAATGCTCATCATATGATTTGGCTTTACAAGTCTAAGTTTTGGTCAAAATCAGACTTGCCTCAGACGTTTCAACCAGTTGAATGTCTTTTTTCTTTTTTCCCCATTCCCATTTTTACTATTGGAGTCCCACATCAGCTAGATTTGGACAAATTTCTCCTCAATATATGTTGGAACCTCTTTTCTCTCATTGAGGACTCCTTCTGGAGAGTAATCTGGAGAGTAATCTAATGGGGTTCCACATATTCTCACGTAGAGTCAAGATCTACTACTGTAGGAACTCGATACCTGCGGACAATTTGTGGCATCTAGCCCCTTTTCGACACTGTGGGGCAATCTGGCCCAACAATACATGTAGGAAGAAGGGGGGGGGGTGAAAAATGAGAAAAATGAGAAAAATGAGAGTTGTGAGTAAAAAGTCTTTTTATAGGTAGAAGTAGGAAGAAGGGGGGGGGGGGTGTTAGAGTCCCACTCTGACTAGATTTGACCATTTGTCCTTCATATATATTAGAACCTCCACTCTCTACTCAAGGGCTCTCTTGAAGAATAATCTAATGGGGTCCCACATATTCACACTTACAAAGTGGGGTCCTTGGGTAGTCATTAGTTTATGTGTGAGAAAACAACTACTAGAATCACTTCCTTAAGTCTTCTCTACTTTTAGTCTAGCATATGCGTAAGAAAACAAATACTTCAAATATGGCACCTTTTATTTCTTGTGTATTTCCATTTTTATGTTTGATGACAATGATGGTTAATTGGAACACAGTAAGTCTATGTTTGGCAAATTAGCTGATAAACAGATCATGTTTGGCAAAACTAGCAAATGAGAATGTAAAATGACCAAAAAGAGTATCTTGAAAAATTAATCAATTATAATATTTCAAAATATAATTAAAACAAATCTCTAACAATATAATATATTAAGTTATTAACTAATGCAAACAAGATAGTAAAAAAATTAAAAAATATAATATATTGATTAAAA